AATCCGCCCGTGATGATCTTTTTAGGTGTGACTTGTTATAATTGCTAGTTGCCGTCAGTAGATACTTGTTTTTTTTTTTTTTTAATCTACCCAGTGTCATATGTGTAGTGTTTGTCGCTGGAGTTGTGATTTTCAAGTCAATCATAAACGACGTTGGAGGCCTGGTGGATAGTCCTACGAATCCAGTGCGATGGTGGCCAGATAGCTTTGGCGGGCTCTTAACAGCTATCTCCATCGCTGGCCTCACCTTTTCGTGTCATTTCAACATCTTACCCTTGCATGGAGAGCTGCGATATCAAACTCGTGCAAACAAGAGAATTATTTTGTACACAGCAATGGGGATCACTTATACACTCAATGTTCTTGTTAGTTTCTTTGGATTTTTTCAGGTGAGCTAAATTGTTCTGCAGTCAGATGAAGAAATTATGTATTAAAGACGCGATCTAAATGCAAAGAAACCTTGACGAATTTTCTTGCACAAAAAATGCTTTACGGGTGATTTTCATGCCTTTTTTACTTGAGTCTTACGCATTTACAAATAAATTTGTCCTATCTCTCAGTTACTACGTGCGTCATAATTGGTCAATTTAGCAGGCTGTATTTCACTGTACGACCTGCTAAATTCAAAAGTTCATTTGAATTATTTGAACCAAGAGATGTATTAAATATATCACTTACTTCGTTTTCTCAGTCCTTACTTTACGTTACGGAACCTCGTGTTTCCGCCCGAATTTACAGCCAAAATATGCCATTGAATGCTAGTGACTAGATCGTGTCTTGTCTCGGTCAGTTTTGCATCTGATTGGCTGACAGGCCGGGGTAAGTTTTCCATACCAATAGCGGGAAATAGGGAAGCAAACCATTGCCACATTGGATTACTTTTAAATATTTGATTCAAATGACTCTCAACTTTCTAAACATTTTTTCACAGTTCAGACAGTTCACTGACCAGGACATTACAAGAAATTATCCACATGATGATATTCTCATTAATATTGGACGTGTGGCTTTAGCGCTGACACTTCTGCTGAGTTTTCCACTGCTTATCTTCCCTTGCAGAAATGTTATCAACAGGGTATGATACAAAAATATGTTATTTCCTTAAAGATATGTGGCGGATAATGTCCGTCTTGCTGAGTTAAAAGAAGTCATGTCCAGATCGCGGCCGTTTTTACCAGTTTTGTTAGTCTCACGCAGTTTTTCAAGTTTTATTCTGTTGAAAGACGAATTCTCTCAAAATATTGTAATGTATCGTTTGATCTTTTGGCGTTTGTCTTCCTATGTCTACCTTGGTTCATTTTCCGAATGTTTCTTTCTTTATCGCGAGGGAGAAGTATGCTGCCAAACCTCATGATTTTTATCTCCGCGAAAAACCACAAGACTTGCTTCGCAAACAGCCGCTGCTTGGTTATCAGAATATCATTATTGAAGAATACCTTTTCGTGTACCTTTTTATTGTCAAAAGAGATCATCGAAAAGATGGTTAAAAAGAGGAGAAAGCCTTTATTTTACGTCACAGGCAAGCGGCCAGGTTGCCTAGAAAGATCCAAAATGGCGGCGTCCATAGTTAAATTTTTAGCTCATTTGGAGACTATCTTTAAACAGTTAGATTACTCTTGGGAGTCTCAAAAGAAAACAAAACAAAAAAAACTCGGCCAGTTTTAGTAATCCAGATATATTTTTGAATGATAGCGATAAAAATCATACGTTTTCTGAAGCATAATTCTCCTTTGAGCCTTTTTCTTATGGCACAAACGAAAATCATGGGAAATGTTAAGTCGGGGAATAGAACCAGTTCTGGTTGGTCAGAGCACGACACATGGGAAATAGAAGGAATTTTGTTTTATTCCCATCTATGGAAACGTTTCACGTTCCAATGTTCATGTAAGTTATTCATCCCAAATTTGATGTCATCATTAATTACTATTATTTATTATCATTATTATTATTATTATTATTATTATTATTATTATTATTATAGTTAGCTGGCTAACTGTTGTACCCATGAAAGATCTGGGTTACAATCTAAGCAAGCGAGAATTTAGAGACGCCATCAAGACTAGATATGGCTGGGAAATCTCCGATCTACCGAAGACCTGCGCATGCGGAGATTTCTTTGATGTTGACCACGCGATGATCTGCAGGAGGGGTGGTTTTGTGATTCAACGTCACAACGAGCTTCGAGATCTAGAAGCTGACCTGCTACGCATAGTATCTAGTGATGTCGAGGTGGAGCCGATTCTTCAGCAGATAACNTATTTCCTTTTCATTTCTTGTGACAGTTGATTTGGCGGATAGAATCCAAAACTCTTTTGCAGTCCCAGCCGTCTATGGCATCTCGCTCACGGGAATATCTTAGCAACGCCACGGGCACAGGTCCTTCACAGTTAATGTGGCTGGTAGAGACTGGGCTCCTAGTCTTCATGGGTTATATTCTGGCGTACTACATTCCCCAAGTAAGTTGAAATGCCGTGAGTTCTGTGAATTACTTTCGTGTGTAGTTATGTTTCCAATGCTTGTTTACATACAGTTAGTTTTAATAGAAATTTTGAAATCTGTGCACAGCGGTTCTTTAGTGGGCTCTTAACGACTTGTCCCAAAGGAAAGAGACGATTTTGTTTCCAAAAAGATCTGAATAATGAGGGTCTACTCGTTGGCTATACTGAAATATTCAGCCTTTGTGCTGAACATCAATTTGTGAACTTGTTTTCAGGTTGCTATGGTTTGGGGATTCGTCGGCGCTATTGGAACCACCATTTTAATCTACATCCTTCCGCCCGCATTTTATCTACGTGTACGCCTTCATCCACCCCGACCAGACCTTAAACAAATAGCGGCCTGGGGCCTAATGCTAACAGGATTCGTTGTGCTTGTTGTATGCACCTATCAATCATTTGCAAACGTCATCGATCCCATTCCTAAATTGGTGCGGCCACATGACCTTAACAACCACACAACATCTGGATAAACATCCACGCCAAAACACGCCACAAGTATCGCTGCTTTAGTATTGCACGACTAGCCAGAAAAGTCACGTGACGAACCAAATTGACAGGTGACAATAAGAGGCTTTATCTCCAGCTCCAAGTGGCTGAAGTGTATATCTTGATCGTCAAGGAACAAAGAATGCTATATGGGGCGTTGAAAATAAATTTTAGAGCAATGTTCAATTGAGTGTCGAAAGTACGTGGGATTGATTTGTTTTAACTTTACTTCGCTTTGCGATTGGCCCAGAAAACTAGCGCTCAACCAATCAGATGCAAAACACAAACCAAGTACGGGGTGACGGAGTCTTCTGAGNTAAATTAAAATGTCTAGCGACTGGTTTCGATGTGTCCTTGTCATTCTTTTCCACGTCTAGGTTTAGAATAAGTTCGTTGTTTAAGCGTTTTAATACAGTTTAAGAGCACGCTTTTAATTCAGTGTTAAAGGAATATGGAATAACGCTGGCTTTTCTAAAGAATTCCCGTAGTTATATTAGCTCTGCGTTCGAAAAGTCTCCCGTATTCCTTTCCCCCTTTTTTTTGTTTCCGTTTTCACATTTCCAAAAGCATTTTGAGTTATTTTCCGTAAACTCTATGAGATTTTACGTCAGATATTAGTGCGCTCAACTCACTAAAAGAAAGGAGAGAATGAAAGAAAATATTTTGAGAGCAGGCAAATTTCCCAGACTTAACTTCTCGTATGTTTAATGTCTTTACTTACATAGAATACGAAAGCGCGACGTAAGGCCCATTTACAATTTCATCTTAGTTTATATTTACCACAGTTTCTTTAGAAACCTACCCCCTTAAACCGAAAAACCACGTGATTAAATTACTGGCAGAATTTTAAAATTCCCTTGGGATGATAGCATATTAGTTTCTTTCGTAGATCAGGGTCCAAATTGCTTTTAATCGCTCACCCAAGAATACAAAATTTACATTTTGTGTTTCTGCCATAGCACCAGCCACGTGACAGAAGTTATCATTCAACTGCCTAACAAAACTGTAACAGGCACCAGCTCATAAATTTCATTAACACCAGCTGTCACTCATAAAAAATGACATCATTTCTTGTGCATCATAAGTAAAATTTTACAGTCAAGCGCAAAAGCGATTAACACCGGTTTTTCTTCTAGAAAACTCCGTAAATTCACACCTTGTAAAGCATTATTTATGCAGGAAAATGACCGCTGTATAATATTACCAACATTTTTTTTTTTAATTCCTTGTTATTATTTTCACATCGAGTATGATTCTCGATTTTCATTATTGGCGTGGTCAGACATTAATTCTACATCCGGGATGGCAGTTAGCGAAGGAATTGCCCGAAGCACAAAATGAGGTTTTTGCTCTTCTGTGCTCGCTCGCTTGGTTAAATACCACTTCTTTTTAAATTGCGGCCTTCCTAGTTTTGGAGGTCGCTTGCAACGTAAACCGTACCAAACCTCGTTGAAAATATCGCGATACCCCTCCCGGAAGCGATCGTTTCTGATGACAAAGATGATGGGGTTGATCGAAGAATTGCAAAATCCGCACCAATACGCCGCTACACCGAGGCCGTAAGGCAATTCGGAAACGCCTACATTTCGAGTTGCTAACACAATCAGGAACACAAATGGCATCCAGCAGAGTATAAAAACAATCAGTACAAGTAAAAGCGTGTATATAATGCGGCGCTGAACTCTCATTACTTCAAGCCCCCCAGTTGTATATTTAGCAATTCTGTTCGTATGCTTGCGAACTGCGAAGAAAATCCTTATGTAAGCAATCGTCATAATTAACAATGTAATAACATACGCGACTAGCACGAGAAATAGCAGGTAAAGCCTCTCCAAAGTCGTCCTAGGATAGGCAAATCCACAAGAGAGAGTACTTGAGTTGTAGGCAAAATGTCCCAATCCTAAGACGGGCCCCATTGAAAGTGATGTCGACGAAATCCAGACAAATCCGATCATGTACCTTGCGCGGCGAATAGTGATTGCACGTGCGAGTGGCTTTACCAACGCATAATATTGTTCGATGCTCATAATTGTTAGCGTGAAGATTGAAACACAAAAGAATAAAGATCCTAGAAATCCGTGAAGTTTGCAGAGCGATTCCCCCATAATCCATTCACGAGAAATACATGTGACGAGCGAAAAAGGCATTGCCAACAAAGTTACCCCCAAATCGGCGCAAGCGAGGTTCATAATAAACATATATCTAGGCGTCTGCATGTTCGAATTTCGGTATACTACTATGATATTCATCGTATTCGCGACAATAGCCACCACCATGATTAAAATCAGCGATGTAGCTTGAAATGCCGCTTCGATAGGACGATATTGAATATGTATTTCGGTTGAGTTCATATTTACGTCTGTTCCTGCCAATATCATGGGAAGAAAGAGGTGATTTCAAAGCATATTTCCGTACATGGGCTGATATAGAAGTTATTGCTGCTTCACCATTTAATGAGAAGAAATATTGTGGTACCAATCGATGATATCGAAGCGAGTCCTTTGATCTTCTGCACAGATGATAAATATTATGACATATGAGAGTTGAATCGCTCCAATGGGGCATATGCTACATCAAAGCTGATACATGTTTCCAATAAAACCCAAGTTAATTATTGGTGAAAATTCATCAGATCTCTGTCCCAACGTTGCAAATATTAAAATTTAAAAAACCAGCAGGTGACTTCCAGTTGTTGGGGCTTATAAATTTTCCTCAATCGTCGTATGTCAGTTTTTGTCTCGTAGCAACATGTTTGGCGCGTGAACAGGTTTATTCCATCAATGTTCCCAGTCAATATTTAACTGGTTTGACACCTTCGACGTAGGTGAAATGTGCTTAACTCACCTTTCAACAGCCTACGGAAGTTAGAGAGAAACAGCCCTTTGAGATTCTGCTAATGGTAATCTATTGTAAATAGTTAAGCCTATTATCTTAACTGACCAACAATGTCGCGCCGGCATCAAAACAAAACTCTTGTCAAAGCTGTTAACTATAACTAGATGATTTTTCAAAAATGCAAATTCTTGTCTCTAGCTTTACAACTGACTGAATCAACAATATCAACTTTTTACTTACCTTTTAGAGATTGAAGGGTTCATTCATTCGAAAATTCCTTTTTCGAAATAGAGGGTGTTTGAAGAGAAAATGAAATACTTAACTGTCGATATTTTTTCACCACTGTAAATTTAAAATAAGCAATTGCCGGTATTCGAGAAATTTCACAACTTTTCCTAAGATGGCAATGACGAACAAACTATTTAATGCGAAATGTAAATCGAACTAATGATGAAGTCTGGTTGACAAACTCCTCTGGGAGTTCCGCGCAATTAGCAAGCCAATGAAAACATCGTGAAAGGTACTTGAGACCATTCAAGGTCGACAGGGTCAACGGAAAAGTGCCAATTCCGATCGAGAACAAGATGGTGGAGTTTCTTAGGTGTAATATCAAAACAGGAACAGGAAAAAAGTAACGTAAAGAGGATATTTCGCAAGAACGAAAAAAAACCCACCTTCAATCGACGCATGCCACAAATATTGACGGAATTTTGTGGTTTAATTCATGTTAAAGTACAATCCAAACACAAAATGCTTTATCTTAGGCGTAGTTTATACGTCGCGCTACTGTCGAATTTAATTCAGACAATTTTTTTAAAATTCGTCTGAATTAAATTCGACTGTAGCGCGACGTATAAACTAGGCCTTAGGCCTGGTTTATACGTCGCATTTAATGACACGAATTTAATTGATGAAGTTTTTTTCGTCTGGGAGACGAAATTAAAAGTCGATTCATTTTAGACGTCGAATATAATTTCGATGTCGTTTTGTGCCTGCATTGACTTTTATCGGCGGAGAACTTCCAAAAACAGCATGGCGGCGTTCAGAGAGGCAGTAATGCTAAAAATTGCTCTGGCGAGACGAAGGCGTAGGAATTTGTACCAAATTTACCAAGATAGATGCTTCTGGGCTCCGAGGAGTGGATGTTCGTGTATAAATTCTTGCACAAGGAAGACAGTACCCAACTCGCTTTCCCGGCTCCCATCCCTCCGCGTCTTCATCCAGTTCAGCCACAGAACATTCCAAACGAACACATACAGGTCTGTCACATCAAATACAACTGTTTTTCGTTTTAGCCTCGCGTGTCCAACAAGTCTGACTCCACGTTTTTCGGAAAAGGGCTCCTGCAGTCACCAGGCCTGTGTAGTCACCATGTTCTCTATTTTCGCGGGAACTCTTCTCCCCTTACGCATGCCATGCAGGTGAAAACTGTGAGCGTGGGCTCAAAATTAACCGGGGGAATAATTTATGTCGTCGCAAAATAATGTATGCATTTACTTCGATGCGACTGAAAGGTGACGTATAAAACTGACACGCATTTCAGACGTTTTATCCGTCTGGGGCACACGGATAAAACGTCTAGGACGAATTTAATTTACCAGACGAATTCAATTCGTTTTAGACGTCGCTTTACTGTCAAAGAAAATCGCTGGAATTAAATTCGTGTGAATTAAATTCGTCTCTAATGCGACGTATAAACAGGGTCTGAGCTTTCAAAATGTCCATAACTCCTCGACTTAAAAACGCCGTCATTTTTAAACAATGCATTTACTTCGCTAACAAGATTCAACAGTGTGGCTCGTCAGGAGGCAATTTTACAGAGACTACTGTCCCTTGGATATCTCGTAGTCAGTGTCATAAATTCATAGAAGCGTTTTCATGATAAGGTTAGAAATTAAATGGCTTACGATCTGAGCAAGTCTTCAGTAGGGACCTTAAGCAAACCACGACGGCGACGGCAACGAGAACGTGGAAAAACAATAGATCTAATTAGCAGAACAATAGCTCAGCACGTGCATTTTAAAACTTAGTACATTTCTCAGCCGTCCTTTTCAAAACGATAACGTGAAATCAGCAAAATTTGCGTCGTCTGCGAACCGAAACCGCAACGGCAAATTATTTCAATTTCCATTTGCAACTCAACGCTACTTTAATACGTTATGTTGAGGTTGAGTTGTACCGTATGAGATGGTAAAGACATGCAGCCATTTTCGAAATTCTAATTAAAAGTAGAAATTCATTTTTTAATCGACGTCTTCCTTAGCGTGGCCGTCCTGACTGCTTAAGGTCCCTATCAAGGTTTACGAAAGAGAGGGAGCCAGCCGAAACGAGAACAGTTGAAAGCTTATAAAGTGATATAAATTTTTTCATTACTTTCCCCAAATCGTTGATCCGTTCTCGAGCTTGAACCCTTGACCTCCATGTTCAGAGCCGGTTGAAAGATCAATTTTTTTTTAGTAAATCAGTATCGAGGCAGCAATGTTTAAGGGTGAACATAAAGAACTGAAGCTAAAACAGATTTTCAAGGAGATCTTCCCGTCCACAGGAAAGCGAGACAGAAACATTCGACAAGCGTAGGATCGTCGAGGGGCTAATGATCCAACATTTCCGCCTCAGTTTGAACAAACAAGTTATTTCTTGTGTCTCCAAACTTTTCCCATCGGGAATCACATAAGATATATATGTAAGTACAGACGGCCATTATTTTCAACCCTGATGATGGCAAACAGCCGAAAACGTTTGGTTTAAACATTTTAATAATTTTTTTCCTAATCTTTTAGCCTTGTATATAGAATACACTTATAATAATAGTACTAATATGTAATTATTAGAGGGTATCATTACCATTACCACAAAGACAACCGTCATTAAACTGACGTATGTGTCGCTGTGTAGGTATGTATGCATACTTGGTGGACTACTCCTACAGTGGAGCTTTTTCAAGGCCAATGTGAATAAGTGAGTGAATGATTGAACGTGTTTAAAAATTCCACCTGGCAGGAGGCAGACCAGTAAAAAAAAAATAAATTTATATACAAATCACAGCCAAGGAGTTGAACTCCAGACAACTAAAAACAAATCCAGAGAGAAGCAAGGAAAGCCCAGTACCCAAACCACTCAGCCACACTGTGTCTGCCTCTGTATCCGATACTTTGTCAGGGTGAAAGCGCACTCGGCCACGCAAGCTATTGGATTTCTCAGGCTTTATATCAAGTGACCCAATTAAAAATAATCCTAGTTAATGCACAGTTCTGCAGAAAATATCTAGTGACTTTTCTAAGGGAGTAGCTGTAATTTTTTTACAAATAGGTGGTTGACATGAGATGGGGGGTACAAGATGATGCAACAGATACGCACATGACAACTGAGCTGAGTTTGCGAGAGGTCAAAGCTTGTCAAGAGATATCTGTTGGACCTAACTTTGTGGTGAGTATGCTTGTTGATGTTCTGTATAAAGAAAAAGATCAACAGAAATAAATCACGAAACACTAACTGATTCGATGTACTTAGTAATGCAACAGAATACTGGAAAGAGAAACAATATAAAATGAATTTAATAAATATCAACATTTGTGGCTTTAGTTCTCATGAGTACATCCGCACACCGGCATGCACTTACTCAACTGATCTTTCACGTAATAAATCAATAATCAGCGACAAAATCGTTGATACTTTGGTCTTTTCAACCCCCTATTACTTCAATTTTATCTCTTTTTCCCTCGTGAATTAGTTAACCCATTTGCACCCTTTCTCCCAAAACAATGTTGTATCGTGATTCCATGTACTGTAAGCCAACATTGAATGGGGTAGAGGGGCTGTTAATGACTTATGTCTGTACCAACTGACCCAGGGGGACACTCGTCCCCAGGTAGGACACTCGTCCATCGCAGTACATGGTCTCGTAGCCACGAGTGCTGGCAGATACGCTGTGATAGGTGTTTTTCTTTTTTTTTCTTTGAAAACTTCACATTGCTTGAGCAACTAGATCTAGGTATGGCGGAAGGAGAAAGCTGACGCCATTGATATACGCCTTAGAGATGTGTCGTGATGTATGCAGTGAGAGTACGTAAGCAAATGCAAGAAAGAAGGATAGGCCTTTCGTTTTAACATTGGGAAAACAAGGTCACGTAATCTGCATTTAATGTTGAAAACCTTCCTTGAAGCAAGTGAGTATTATTAATGTAACGGAACGTTGATTCGTCAAAGTTTTGCTTCCCCTTCCTCTGAGAACATTGACGCTGACCTTCAAGTAACGTGGGGTGTGTTTTTAGGATCAGATGACGGTGTGCTGAAAGTATGGGATATGAGTGATGAATCTTTGTCGATGACCGTGCCGGAGGCCGGGGACGAGATCGGCATGATCACTTGTTGCTGCGATGACGACATCATTGTGGCGTCCTCTAAGCATGGGATTAGTGTCACTTGTTTTGAAACGGGTGAAATACTCCACAGGTAAGTATTGGGCGTGCTTCATTCGCAAACTGTTTTAATATTAACTGTTATTGAATTGTTAACTCCGGATATTTCGTTTGAAGCTTTCCCATGGGTTAAGTCAATTCAAATGACCTTATTTGGAAAATGATTGGGCCAAGTGTTACGTAACTGAAAAGTTTGGTTCTAAGCTGCAAGTATCCAAATGTCTAGACTCTTATGAAATTAAATAAAGCAACTTTTTATTTTCGCACTTGATGGATATGAAATCGTAGCCAACTCGTATCCAACACGCGCTCGTGGAATAATTTGGTAAATTAATGAGGGTTTATTTCGCTCCCATGAACTCGCCAGTTCATAATCTCTTTTGATCTTTTTTGTCGGTTTGGGATACAAGAGAATGCTTTTTGTAATGATAAGAATATAAAGGAAACTATGACAAACTTCCCGGTCGAAATTGGCAATGATTACAGACTGAATTGGACTCCATACGGTGTAACCATTATAAACTATAAAATTAAAGTTTGCGTGCTAGGATTCGCCAGAAGGGAGAATAACACATCAATTTCAGTTCATGCTTCATGAATGTGTCTGTAGTTTGAACTAACAGAAGTTTAAAAACTTCTTTCCTTTGGATACAGAGTGAATTCAAAGTATTTTGAGAGCTATTCTCTTTTCACGTTCGCCGGCGATAAAGGATCCATACTTGTGTTTATTACGGAATAGTTCCTGAACTTGATGCAGACTTCCTCTGGAGAAATTTTGCATCAACTTACCAACATCAAGTCAGTTGGCAGTCCGGGGAAAAATAGTTTATTCACCTCTTGGAATAACATCGTGCTCTGTAACTCAAAGGAAAATGAAAATTCCTTGAAAGTTATCGATATTTGCGACTTCAGTCAAAGTGCTCCATTCCATCACAGTCTTCGAAGATAAAGACGAGGAAGAATTTCTTCACCTCACGCAAGTCGCAATGAAATCAGAAAACGAAGTTCTCGTCGGGAAGAAGATGCCGGATAGTCGATCTACACTCAATCGGTACGGGCGAACTTTTACGAACGTATCGGTGTAAAATCGACGACTGGATCGACACTCTTCACTGGACGCCACTCACAATTTTCTGTTTTTCCCATAACGCCAGAAAGTTGCTTTACTTGATCTAGAAACTGGCGAGAGAAAGGATGTTTTACCGCATCCTAATTACGTCTCTAGAGCTTTTGCTGTGAGTCGCGACGTGATTCTCACTTCCGGTGGCGATAACATCGTGAGAGTCTGGGACTTAACTCGAAAGGATGTTCAGCATCAAATAGAAAAACCCGAAACCTTGGTGAACACTTATTCTATCCCGGGCGACCCCGGACATTTGTTGACGGTGGGTCGACTGGGGATTGATAATTACTGTGTGACCGTTTGGGACCTGGCAACTATGTTAGCAGCAGGCAAAATCAGAGGCATAAAAACAAACTATCTTCAAGTCATCGACGACAAAAGAGTTGTTATTCGTGAAGATAAAAGTGTGGCAGTCGTGGACTGAAAAACGTGGAAAGTTGAAACAGTCCTTAAAGGAAATATACCACCATTTGACCGTTTGGGAATTGATGATATCTGTGTTGTAAACCACAAAACCGAAGTACTTACCTACTCACA